CACGTCCCAGCTGGGAAAACACTTAAAGAAGAAAGGTGGCACGAGAGGTTCCCTGTTTTTAATAATATTAGCTAAAAAACAAGCAAAGACAAAATCCACATGGAAAATTCCCAGAGGCAGAGACAGTGGTTCGCAGCACAGCAGCAGCCCCCACTCCTCACGTTAGCCCTGAACGTGCTTCCTATTTCAGTAACTGAAATTCATTGTATCCTGGGAATTTATAAACACAGTTATTCCAAAAATCAGGGAAAATAAACCATTCCTTTAGAGAAACTAATGCTGCTGCTTGCATTCATAGATAGATCCATTATACACATATATTATACCACCGTACTGGAAGGAAACAAGACCTAAGTGCAGACTTCATACTTAACCCCAATTGCATAGAATCATAGAATCCTTAAGGTTGGAAGGCACCTCTAGGGATCATCTAGTCCAACCCCCCTGCACACGCAGGGTCACCTAGAGCACGTGGCACAGGACTGCGTCCAAGCGGGTTTTGAAGATCTCCAGAGAAGGAGCATCTGAATGAATTTTGTTTAGCTCAGTGGCTTCACCTCCATTTCCCACATTAAAAAGGTAGCATGAAGGTGTGATGCTTTCTTGGCCAGTTTCTGCAGTCAATACTTTGCCTGGCACCCAAAACACCCCAAATTGATGCAAAACCCATCAATCAAATACATAGTCCTCTTTCTGGATCTGGACCTTTGCATTCTTCTTTGGACAGGCAATTCATATATACTATATTTTTATATAGACGGGGTGTTAATTCAGGCTCTTCCAGCATGGCTGTGCCAAGCAGAGCCCCTCCTGGGCAGTATCTACCAGGATGACCCATCACACCAGACCTTGTGCTTGCTCAATTCTTGTGGACACCAGAAAATAAAAATCATTCCAAAAGTATCAACACACCACAAGACAACTCCTGCCATATGGTTTCTTTTCCCCCTGTCCTTCCTCCTTTTTTTTTTGCCCTCTTTCCATTACTGGCTCTTCTATTTTTGCCATCAAGTTCAATAAGCCTGGAGGCGCTTTGGGTAGACAGCGGGCCCAGGTGCCGCATGAATTTTTCATTTTGCTCTTCCCATCTCCAACTATTCTCCCTTTGATTAGGCTCCCTCTCTGGTGCTGTTCAAAAAAAATAAAATAAAAAATAAGAGTTCGGCTACATCCTGTCCCTTGTCCTCTACAGCACTTGCACCGTTGCTCTTTTTCCCTTTGGAGCAATAAGCCAATTCCACGTGTTGTGTTCTCAGGAAAAAGCCTGCTTAATCCCCGTATTTTTAGGCAGGCAGTTCTCACTGGAGGCTGCCCATACTGAGCTGCTCTATCATGAAATTACACTAATTAATAGCATTAATCGGCGTTTCAGCCCTCGAGCGGGGAGTATCTTTGCCTTGGCTGCGGACGTTCAACACCAGGTCTCCAGGACACCCCACGGGCGGGTAGCAGCTCCACGAGTGATTTGTGCCCCAGCTGGGTCGCTAAGGCATAGCTGGAAGCAGGGACCAGCAACACGGATGCATCTGATTCCTGGGGAATCCCATTGCTAGGGCACTGGCGGGTCGCACGCCGACCCCCGGCAGAGCCCAGCACGCACAAATCAAGGCCCAGCAGGCCCCATGTCCTGCTCCCGCCAGACCACACGCCCTGTCAGGCCGAGGAGCTCTCCTTAACGCCGCAATTAACGCACGGGGCTGATTTAATCCAAGCTTGTGTGTCCAGAGAGCTGTGTCTCCCAGGCGAGCACTGCTCCAAGAGAAACACAGCCCGCACGGTGGAGCGTTCAAAGCACTTCCTCCAAGGATACTGCCATGTATCCCTCCCCAACACGTGCATCCAGGTGCTTCTGACCCTCCTGCAACCCTATCCATCCCCAGGTTTTGAATTTAGCATTCCTAAACAAGCAATGTCAGGAAGATCTTGATCAAACGGCCCCATGTCCACAACTCCCCGCAGCTTTCTTGGCTGTTTTCAGATCTGAACCAACCTCAGACCTGGAATTGCTAGGAGCGAAAATGCAGAGGCCGCCCGGCCACCCAAGGGCTCGCAAAGAGCGATTCTAATGGGCACCCGCCACGCTCTCGCCTTGTTTTTCCTCACCAATTACCAGTGTCAAGGAGCTGCTTGCAGAGCCGCCCTGTTTGCCGGGGCCGCGGCTAGCAGGCTGGCCAGCGAGTGCCACAGGGCTGCATAAAAACAGAGGGGGGGAAAAAAGAGCTTAGGAAAGAATCCAACTCATCCGAGCTTGACAGCGACTGCCACCGCCTACCCCCTTAAACACGCTGCACGGCAGGGGCTTTCGCAGCATTAGCTGTGCAAAAAGCTAAATTAGGTACAGAGATTTACCTAATTTGCAACTTAACAGCTTCAGCTTGTGCCTTCTCGGCCCCCCCATCCCTTCCCCCCCAACTATTTATTTTTCAGATCGGCGTCTCATGCATCTCTCTGAAGAGGCTGGCAGGGTTTTATTGAAGCTTTTTTGTTTTGTTTTGTGGGAAGGGGGATTTTTTTTCAAGCGTGTTATTACTGGGCAAGAAGCAGGAGCAAATGCTGAATTTACATACGTTTCTCAGCATGTAGGAAAGACTTACAGGCACTTTCAGTCCCATCTTGACCTGCAAGTGTGGCTGGGAGAAGACAGCTAGCCTGAACAGAAGTGTTAAAAACACCCCACAAACCCCAAACCAGGCTTATTTTTAGCACTCGAATCACACTCTGAGGCAACAACATGATTTCTGAGCAATCCGGAACCTGAATTTACAGTTTTTGCTATTTTAAGGCATTCGACTTGTTTCCTTTGGACATCGTCTACTCCTGCACACGCAGGGTCAAAGGACAAAAAGTCAGCGAGTCTCTAAGATGGGAGCAAACACTCCTTGCACAAATGTTTGGGAACGGCCAGGCAAAGGTTTCCAAATCGGCAGCCAACGATGAGGCACTGAAAACGCTTTAGTAGCGGTCTTGAATATGAAGCCACTTTTCATGAGATGTGTCCTACCTCCCTGAATGAGACCAAGAGGAAAGGTATTCAGAGGTGGCTTCTTCTCAGACCCTTGGACCACTCCTGCTTTTACTTAAGACCATAATTATCATGACAAAAATCCTGTGGTAATTCTCTCTGAAGAGGCTTTCAGAAGACCGGTGTCACGTCTCACTGAAAGAGGCCAAAACGAACCAAGGAGGAGGCAGATGAGAACGATTAAGATTCAAAGAACCTTCGGTTACTTTTGAAGGGCAAAGTGCTTCCTAAAATGATCTACCCCCTTAAACACAGTCTCCTTCACAGGGGGCTGCAGCTGAGGAGCCAGCACAGACGAACGCTGTCCCCAGCAGACTAAGGGAGGGAACATCAAGTGTCTCCCAGCGGTCAGTCCAACACAGCACGGCGGGAGCCCTGAGGCCTGCTCTCCTTGGTGGGCCCATATGTGACTTGCGCGACATGTCCATTTGCCACGTGCAGCCACGTGAAGGACTCACCTGCACGAAACTGTCCTTTTAGAAGACAAGTTCACACAAGTGAAAAGAGAGCCCCTCAGCCAAGTTGCTTAGGATCATGGAAAACTGCATGTTCTTCACAAGAACATCCAGTCATCTCTTTCTGACTTAACATTTCTGCCTACTTCTTCCCTTACTTCTCAGTTTCTTTTTAAAATATCTAATTAAAAAGCACATTTTTTTCTCCAAACAGGGACTTATGCCTCGTTTTGATAGTACTTTTGCATCTCTGTATTATTCTCATCATCTGTCCTATCTATCTGCTTCCTTCCATCTCCTCCACTACAGTGTCCTTTCAACCACGTGTCACATTTTTATCATCTCTCGAAGGCTCCCTGCTTCAGATGTCATTGAGAGCTCTTGACCTCACGGCCACGAGCTGTGATACCATGCCTCCCAAACCTCTACTCCTTCTAAGCTGAATTTAATTGTACACAGTAACACAATTTCCATCCACATACTACATACCCCATGCTTTTGCTCACAACATTCACCAAAGTTACAGGAGAAGTTCCAAAAACTCTGAGCCATGTAGAGTTGGCTGGATCATAACCTCACCGTGGTGCAAGGAAAACTTCTACCTGCCCAGACTGATTCTGACCCATCCCTACGGGTGGCCTGAGAGGAGGCGACACCACGTTTGAAGACAAATCCAGCCATGCTTCAACTTTCATGGAAAACTCTATCATTTTCCAAGACCTGTGGCCATGGGGTATGGCTCCCTTCCATTGCCCTCCCAGCCTGGATCCATAACGTGGCTACATTATGGACATACAGCAGGGTCAAGATGTTCAAAACTGCTACTAGTCTCTCTTTTCCTTAAAGAAAACCAAGACATTAGAAGCCCAATAAAGATGCTTGCAGAAACCAACGTGAATCAGTGAAGTTCATCCCCAAGGACTGGCACAGGCTCCTCTAGATGATGGTGTTTTAGGGCAGCTGACTAGCAAAGCCTCAAGCTCTTTCCTTTCTTACTGACGACGTAGTTATTGAGCTTCCGCAGGCTAACACTGGTAGACATCCTTCCTTCTTCTGAAGGAGCTGCTTGGGAGACAGAGAGAGAGGCTACGGCAGGGCAAGGAATCAAACCAAAGTCTTTCAAGATGAAAAAACAGGAGCCCGAAGGGATGAGCTCTCTTCATCTTATTTCATTGTGCATGAAAAATGCCCCTCCGACCGTATCTGGAAGATAAAGCTTTTGCAGGGGAAATAGTATTAAAAACTAGTGACAGTGGAAAATTAACTGAAATAAAATGTCTTCAAGCTGGGAAAGTGAATAGCCGCTCTGCAAGGTCCAAGAAGGGAAATACATTTCTGAATAGCAACCCTCGGTTTGACACCATAGCAGCCCGCTTTGGAAACACAGAGGCAGATGAATAAAGCTCAAGTATTTTAATATATAGCTTCCTACATGGATATTTACACAGCCTGCTAGTTAGAAATAAGACGACTTAGATTAAAATCTTAAGGAATTCGCGATGGAAGTTCCCAAATGAACTTACTTTTGACCGTAGCTGTGCGGGTGCAGTTGTAGAGAATGGCCAGCTCCCCAAAGACTTTGCCGGGTCCCATGGTACACAGCTTCACCCCTTCTTTCGTCACTTCAACCTTCCCATCTGCCAAAAAGATAAAATCAAATAGAGAGATCATTTTACATGGGAAACGTTACTGAGATCCTTGCTATAGTTTGGTGTGCCTATTAAGCTCTGAGTGAAAACACCAGAGCCACACAAATTGAAGACCAATTAAACAAACGCATCATGAAAGGCAGCATATGATACACTTGGAAAAAGCTTAAAGACAACTATTGCCTACACATGTCTTTAATTCCTGTTTTTTTCTTAGCGGCCTATCAACACAGGGTCCAGAAGCAGCGCACTAGGCTCAAGGCGAGCTTTGTTTCACATATTACCCGTCCAGGTGAAATCTTGCTGAAATTCTTGTATTAGAGGAGAGCAGATTCAGGTCTTTAACAGCGCGCGGCAAAGCCGCCGGGCACCCTGGTTCGTTCTGGCAGAGGAGCTAAATCCCCAGAACATTCACCCACGAGTAACGCAGCTGTAAGCAAAAAGGAAAATTACTTTGACCCGTGGCCATTCTTTAGCTCACAGCTGGCCGTACCTTTTCTTTCTGAACATCTTATCTCACGGAAGCAAGGCTGGCTTTATCTGCTAAAGAGTTGCTCCTGTCCCCAAACTGCAGAGGAATTGGGAAGGTCTTGCCAATATTTACCTTTTAGGGGATGACTAGCTTGTCCTCTATGGACGGCGCCCTGCAAGAGTGAACCCAACATCCAACTGGTTCCTCTCGGGCTTAAGGTCACCTGCATTTGGACACTGGACACCTAAGTTGGGCTTGAACGCTTGCAAGAATACCTAAAAGGCATCACCCGACCCTACAATCACGCTGATGGGATCCCATGTTACTCTACAAACAAAACCCCTACTGCAAGCAGCACCTTAATATGATCATTACCGCAGGCCTTAAGGCAAATGGGATAACAGAGCCGGGTTAGCCAACGCTATTGCACAACATCAACTCAAAAAAGCAAACTTGCAGACCCCTACAAAAGCTTAAGGCAAAATATCGCTATCAAATACGTAAATAAGGGATGCCAAATTGGCAGAAACACTCTAGTGCTTTCACCCAGAACAAGGGCGATGGCAAGAACAGAAAAACACGTTGCATTGCGTTAGAATAAACTTGTAAATAAACACAGAGCAGGCGGGTTAAACTGGGGACAGATCAAAGACATCACAAGCAGCCAATGCTTCCAGACGACCTTGGACTTGCAAGAAAACAGCGATAAATCCTCGACACCAAAAATTGATCTTAGAGACGGGCTCCTCCTCGAGCGCGGAGACGCCTCAGTGCTGTGGAGCCCTACGCGGAAGGCGAGAAAGGCGGCCGGGTGCGATGCCACGTTTGAGAGAGAAACCGAAACCCCCTGAAACAGCCACGATTGGAAAAACTTACCTGGACACTTCTTACAGACGGCATTTTATGTACAGAAAGAGGCAAAAAGCAGATTTTTTCTTCTGCAAACACAACGTGCTGCAGGAGAAATGCCAAGGAGGGGAGCCAGAGTGGGAAAAAAAAGAAACATCCACATGGGAAAAATCTATACGGAATAAATTCAAGTGGAATAAATCTGTTTCCTAAAAAATATTAGAGTACAGCAAAACCATATGCCCATAGGTGGGCAAAATGGCATCTTCTTTGGGCTTCTAAAGCCTTTCATTGGATTAAGTGTGAGCATTAGACACTGATAATGCCCAGTTATGGCTTAGTTCTGCAAAGAAAACATTCACCAATATAGCAAAATAAGCGCCAAAATCTTGGAATACGTAAAGCAATACATAAGGACGAAAGAAAAAAAAAAAGAGTAATTCTCAGGCTTTTTAGCATCCTAAAGGACTGGGATTTCACTACTAGTATCCGCTGTCTTCGCTTTAATCTAGTTAATTTATTATTTCAGCCGGCTTCAGTTCATTTATTGAAGCAGCATAATGCATATATTGCATTATTTATGTATGACTACATACATATGACGGGGTATACACAGTCAAAACTACGTGCGATCACACACAGTGTCAAACTGACCCCAACCAACCCCAAACTCCAACCAACACCAACTCATTCGGGTGTCCCGCAAGAAACCATCGAGCTGGGGAGAAAATCAGCAGCTTTTGGGCACCCCTGGGCGGGCGGGAATGGCTCCAATGGGCTGTACTCCCAGCTGGGTGGCAAAACACAAAGAAAAATGAGCATTAAGTGAGAGAGAAGGACAGGAAATTCCCTTGACAGCAAGCAGTGCAGAGCCTGGGTATCACTCAGCAAACGCCCCATTAGCACCTGCTTTGATACATCCAGCATTTAAATATGTGTTTTCTATATGAAAAGTACTCCAAGGCCAGGATTTGATGCATGCCCTAACAGCAATTCTTAAAAATTGAGCTATTTTTTTTTTCTAATCAACGATTTAAAATCTCTTTTAACAGTTACACCATAAAGACTCTTCTGCCTAACAAAAATGCTTAAAGACATTGCAGGGAGGATATACAGAACCACTGGGGGGAAAAGAAATAAAAAATAAAGCAGGAGGGATTCTTCCAGAAGTATAACACAACACAGCACACGTCTCATTTCTCAGCACAACCCCCAAATCTGTTTTGCAAAGCTAACAAATAGGAATTTCACACACAGCAATTTCGAAGCTTCGTCTCCCACTCAGCCTCATGAAGAGCTGCTACGATTCTCGGTGCCTGCTTTTTATATTGAAAATTTACACAGAAAATTTACACAGCGACAAAGCAGCTCACATAAAAGTCACCATGTTCTCACTGGAAACTATGGGAAAGCAACAGAAATTAGCTTTGTGGAAAACCTCGACAAAACAGTGCAGCCAGGACATAAAATGAATCCGAGCTTATTTTCCCTTGCTAGAAATGAAGTGTCTTGACACTTTGGGGACAGTTTTCTCCCAAACAAATGCTCGCTGATAGGTTAATACAGGAATACATATACAAATATATATATATATATTTCACATATTAATACAAGACTGGGCAGAATGGCAGCTGGAGGAAGGCCGGACTTGGCAGATGGAGATATTTCACCTCTGAAACTACAGCAAGAGAAGCAGCGATGGCCAAGAGGCTTCTCTTCCAGCACAGTACAGTAATAAATGTGCTGTTTAATTACTATTTATTACCCTAGCAAAAGTATTCCTTTCTCAAACCACCTAATTAAAGAAGCCAGGGCATTAAGCACCTAAAGATAAGCTCACCAAGACCACAAGCCATGGAAATATCTTATTTCCCATGCAAATAAAAGCGCAGAGTAGTGCTCGAGATGGGCATGCAGACAAATCTGCAACCTCCTTTTGATACCTGACTAAACCAAAGGCTATTTTTTGAGGCAAGAAGATGGGAAAAGACTGTGTTTCTGCAGAAGCATCGAGTGTTATTGACATCAATGCTGATATTTAAAGATGAGTTGACTTTGCAGAGCTTTTGCTTGATCCCAAAAATTGCAGAAGATGCTCTTCTGCTTGGATGAGGACAAGACCCAAGCGTTTTTCACGGAGATGGACTACAAAACTTAAGGATCTCTATGCTATCTAATTAGGCATGCAATTTAAGGATGCTCATGTGGAGCATGTCGCAGCAAAAGTAGAACAGCCAATGGCACAAGGGTCCTTGCAATCCTGCCAGGGTAAAAAAGGACGGGATGAAGGAAGGAAAAGCAGGCTCCATTTTGCCTGGCAGGGGGATAAAGTTCACGGGCTGTTTTTGCTTTCATGGGAACATTTCGTTCTTCATCACATCGAGTCCGTTCCAATTAACCATACAATAACATCTTTGGCCACACGGCCTCCACGCTCCTCAAATAAAATTGCACGGATGCGGCACTCTCAATTAGTAAGATGATTTCTATTTTTTCCTCCCCTTCCAATAATTAAATGTTCGTTTTCTCCTTCCGGATGCAGAAGAAAACAGATTAACTTGACTAGAAGAATCTGTCAGAGGGCACTTATGTAAAGGGCAAAATCTTCCTAGTCTGGATCCCACTTTCTCTGTGCAGCTTAAGAGACCGGCCTGCAAAGCCCCTTTTATATCAAGACAAATATCTGCTATACGAAGAAAAACCAAAATGGTTTACAAGCACAGACCCTGCCCTTCATTTTCTTCATTTTTAAAGATGTAGGACTACCTAAGGAAGTAGGTAACCCCAATCCAAAAGCCCAAAGGTGCTCCATTCTCTACAGCAGGATGTAGCGAAAGCCAATATCCAACCTCATTCTAGAGTCTTTATTTTCCCTCCCAGGTATAAACAGGAATCACCTGAGAGGCTTAAAGCTTTGCTGTGGTTTTGTGATGAAGTCTGTGAGATAGGGCTGAGAGCCATATGGATGAGCTCAGCTTCATCCATATATAAGTCACTGGTCTGCTATTAACTCAAAAACATACAATTAGTTCTCGCAAAGGGACCTACTTCTCTATTATACTTACACGAAAGTTAAAAAAGTAATGTGTGTGCGTGTGTATATGTATATATCACAGAATCACAGAATCCTTAAGGTTGGAAGGGACCTCTAGAGGTCATCTAGTCCAACCCCCTGCACACACAGGGTCATCTAGAGCATGTGGCACAGGACTGCGTCCAAGCGGGTTTGGAAGATCTCCAGAGAAGGAGACTCCACAACCTCTCTGGGCAGTCTGTTCCAGGGCTCTGGCACCCTCACTGGTAAGAAATTTTTCCTGTGGAAAAAAGTTCCTGTGGAACTTTTGGTGCTTCAGTTTCCGGCCATTACCTCTAGTTCTGTCGGTGGCCACCAGTGAAAAGAGGCCAGCACCATCCTCCTCACTGCCTCCCTTGAGGTACTTCTAGACACTGATTAGATCCCCTCTCAGCCTTCTCTTCTCCAGGCTGAACAGGCCCAGCTCCCTCAGCCTCTCCTCATAGGGCAGATGTTCCAGGCCCCTGAGCATCCTGGTAGCCCTGCGCTGGACTCTCTCCAGCAGCATCACATCCCTCTTGTACTGTGGGGCCCAAAACTGGACACAGTACTCCAGATGCGACCTCACTAGGGCTGAGTAGAGGGGCAGGATCA